GATCGTCTGCACCTCTCCTGGGTAGTCCCAGTCCCTTGGCAGGTGGTGCAGAGTTGGTTTTCCACGTGAAGCGTGACCTTCTCAGGACTCTGAAAGCTCTCACCATCCTCACTTCCCAGCCTCCCCATCCTTGGAAATCCAGGAGTTCACAGTTCATTTGTTAACTTTGGTACCTCTAACCCCCAGCAATCTCCACCTCTTTCTCTGAGGAATTCCACTTGCAGCCTGTCCTTTCTGCAGCTGCCTCCTGTGGGTTCTCTTGCTTTTACTCCACTGCAGGAGATCTTCGTTTCATCACTTCTCTCCCCTTTAAAAGAGCACAGGTCAGAAAGAGAAACAGCCACCCTTTCTCCTTGATGCCTGAGAGCTTGCACCAGCGTGAGGAGCTCACTGCCCTGCTAAGCCTCTGAGCTGCCAGGCTAGATCCTGAGCAATAATATTATTCTACACTACACCATGACTTTAAACTGCAGCATTGCAGGTTTGGAAGACAGCTGCTCTGTACCTTTGGGACTTCAGGGTGTGCTGTTGAATGAGTGCCCTGGGAAATCATTAATAAAGGGTGATTTATATTTCCCCAAATTGCACTCTTTGTTTTATTTTTTTTTAAGGCATTATGTTTTGTTCTTTCTTGGAGTGTTTTTGTAGAAATGTAGAGTTTAATGTTAAATATTTGCTCCCATGTGTTCATTTTTGAGAGGGTATCGGGGATTTTCAGTTTATGTCCTTCAGCATCATCTCCCCCCCAGGGGCACTGCTCTGGAGGTGTCTGGCCCAGCCCACAGCTGGTGCTGAGGTGGTTCAGCCCGTTTTGGGCCCATTGTTATTGCAGAGCTGCTTGGGTTTATTCTGGCCTGTTTGGTGGTGCTGTAGCTGACTGGAACAGTGGCAGTGGAGATGTTAATGGAAATACACAAAAAACAGAGAAATGTCAGAGAGATTTGTTCTCTCTCATGTGCTGGCACTGGAAGACTTTGAAGAACAGGCTACAAGACCAGTTGTTACCTGCACACATTTTCCCAAACCTGTCAGTGACAATAACTCAATTATTTTGTAAGTTGTGCTCCCCTGTCCAGCAGGACAAGCCATTTCCAAAAGCACATTCCAGTGTTTCATCATCTCTGCTGTACATTGCAGCATATCTGCACAATTGATAAAGCAGAGATTTGTAGGCTTGTTTTCTTTCAATGCTGATCTAATTAGTTAATAAAATAATAGTCTCTCCCCTGCCTCCTCCTACTTGTTTCCTCCTCGTTTCTCATCTTAGCCACTGAAGAAATATTTCCTCTGTTCTCATGAAAGGAATGCATTTACACTTGCCACAGCAGTTCAAAGATACCAAGAATATATTTTCCTTATGCTGGTAATTGCTTTTCTTGGTCGTTAGTTGATCAAAGTGGAGGAAATAGAGCAGGGGCAGTCAGACTAAATAACAGATTTGGAATAGAACTGGGACTGAGCTTTCTTGGGGTTTTTCTTTTGTTTTCAGAGTGTTGAGTTATTCAGTCTCTGCACAGGGGTGCCTCCCTGCAATGTGGAGTTACTGGGGTGGCTCCTCCATGGTGTAAATCAGGCACCAGCTGCTTCACGTTGCTCCTCTAGACTCTGAAGGAGCTCATAGCTCCAACAGAGGTTTGTCTTACAAGCAAACTGAGCAAACTGAGGGAAGCCTTTTTTTTTTACACTTGTCCAGCAAAATATGCAGGTGGTGAGAAAAAAAAAATGGAAAACTGGGGATTTGGTGCTTGAATTTTTTTGCTTGATATTTTGTTTGGAATTTTTTTGGAAAAGTAAAAGTTAAGATTGTTCTTCCATGCTTTCTGGCACTGTTCTTGTTTGGAAAGCTTGTGTGGAATGTGAAACTGAAACTTTGCATTAGCATAAACATTTTAAGGTCTTTCTTCAAGTCTGTTGCACTTACTGTCAATGTATTTCATCACTGTGGCTCTTTAATGAGATTTAGCTGGTGCTGGAGAGACAGACAGTCAGAAGTTCACTTTTGCTTCATTTGAGTTTTTTTGGGTGTTTTTTCTCCCCGCCCGTGTCCGGCCCCGAGAGCTTTGGTGGATTTGCTTGGAGACAAACTAGTTTCTAGATTTCTCCTTATTTGGAACAAGGGCTCTTATCGCTGCTGCCAAGAATATCCCGGGCTGAGTGGCAAAAGGCCAGGAGGTTGCCGCAATCACTCGGAGGGCTGGAATCCCCAGGGAAATCTGGGGCTGGCACGATCAGTGCCACAGGAGGGAAGGTGTTGGGTAGGCTGTATGTCGTCTCATGAACGCCATCTTCACAGAAACACTGGTGTCTTTGGTAATCCTCCCTTTATAACTAGATGCTGAGATCAGAGATAACTTATTTTAAACAAAGCTTGGGATTTTTTGCAGTAAAAGTCTCCTTGCTTACTCAGTGGCATTTAATCATCTCAAGAGCCATAATACATGTAAACACTGAGAAATATAGGAGGTGGGTGCTCTAATTTGCTTTTTATTCCTCAGAATAATTTTCTGAAATATACTGAATAAGGATTTTTTATGAGCTTCCTGAGGAAATTGCTACTGTCCTGCATTCTTGTAAAGAATGATGACCTTGGAAAAAACAAACAACTCCTTGACTTGGAACAAAAGGGGAAAAGTGTCTGAAATTGTTAGTAAGTATTTATTGGAAGAGAAGGTGGCATTTAGTAGTCTTAATGATTCAAGATAGCTCAGTGTTTTACTTAGAGTATGGAGGAAGTTTGTTTTGAAGACCAGGCTCAATTTCAGTTGGGTTTAGTATGTCTGTGACCTGCTTTTGCATGCATGAACAATATTCCCAGTGGATATCCTGGGAAAGCACAGGGCAAAATCACATCTGATGTTACTTCTGACATTAACATACTCATAACAGGGATGAAAGTATGCAGTATTTCTACTTCAAAAAGGGGAAAAGCAGAAACACCTGGGAACAGGTTAGATGATCTTGGATTTCCTTGGTGTGTGGAAGGATGGCAGGGGTAGAAAAATTGCTCCCTGCGATTGTTCAGCTGATCATTGTTAGTTTGCCAGAGAGGACCACCCTAAATGTAGGAACCACACACAAAGGGAAACAAAGTGAGAGGAAGGGAAAAATATAGGGGGGGGTGTTCACAGATGGAAAAATTAAAGACTTACTTTTAAATGCAACAACTGAATGAGCTACAGTGATCCCAGCCCTGCTGTCAGCTAGTGCATAATAAGCATAATAAATGTTTAAAATGGGCCTTAACAGTGCAAAACTTTAAGGACTCTACACCAATAAACGGAACGGTTCATAATGTACTTTTAATTAGTGCCCATCGGGGAAGTAGCACACCTGCAGGCATTTCCGTGCCCTCTGCCATGCCCACATTTTCCAGACACAGCATGGAGCGATGCACACCCACAGCAGGGCTGAGCCATCCCATGCACGTGCGGAGCCCCGTGCAGGACACCGTGACAGACGTGGCCTCAGAGTCCTCCCTGGGAAGGGTTGAAAAGCTCCATTTTAGGAGATCCCTGCCTGGAATCACATCCTGCTATCTGTAAGTGCTGTGGACCAAGGGATGCAGCTCGGCTCTGGGCTCTTGGTGAGACGAGTCCTGGACTCACATGAAGTCATGGCAGTGTGGCACGAGAGCAGCTTAAAAACGGAGCCAAGTGGAACTTACCTTGGCTGGAGGCTGGCAGGAACAGAAGGGAGGGATATTTTTGAGTTCCTGGGTGCCGAGCTCTGACAGGGGAGCAGGCTGGTTCTGGTGCTGTGGAACAGGTTGACGTAATGCTGAGGGAAGAAGCCAGCAGAGTGGGTGGATGGTGCTGGTGCCGCATGTGCGAGCATGGCAGTGAGCGCACAGGGACAAGGGATAAAGGCTGGGCTGCCCCATCTGTGCCTGGCAGGAGGCTTGGGGTCTCCCCTGAGAGTGCAGGTGTTTGTCTGGGACCTGTCCCCTGTGTTTGGGTGGTGGCCATGCTGGCACAGAGGCCAGCCCAGAACTGGAAATGGATCCCTGTTCCTCCATGGATTCTATGGATGCTGAGGTCTCCAGGCACCACCTGAGCAGTGTGTAAATGAATTTCTGGGGATATAAATTGTAGCTGTTTTCACGGTAAGATCACCTTGCCCTGGCTGAAAGCTGCAAAATGGTTTGGGTATAAAAGGTGCCTTTTTGGCTGTCACAATGGGGGGAGACGGAGAGACAGCACAACACTCGTGGTTCATACAGCAGAGACTTTGGTTTACACAGCTCTTACATACCCTGTCCAAAATACTCCACATTCAAACCTGGCTGGCTATGACTGGTTACCACCCGGCTCACTGACCAACAGCTGCCTGCTTGCCTTCTCCTCGGGGGTTGGCTCTCCATAGCCAAACCCTTCCTCCTTTTGTGGCGCATACAGTCCAGCTGTATGCTGTCACAGCTCCCCCTTTTCTGTTTCAAAATATAAAAGCCATGTTTATTGTCTCTCTGCGGGGCCCCTTTGCAGAAAGGACAACAAACATGGTACAAGGAGAATTAAATTCTTCACTAAACTGACAAACCTAATATTTCTAGCTATTGGTGAGTCCCATCAATTTTTTACTATTGTGTCCAGGAGCTGCCAAAGGTACAATGTTGCTGGGTGGCATGCTGTAGACTACTTACAACTTGAATGTTACAAACCAATTTAAAAACTACCAGAGGTAGCGTTTTAAACTGTCAGAGGGAGCATTTCCTTTTGTTTGCGATGTCCTTAAACTGTCTGACTCTTGAGGTCCAGGTGAAGTAACAGGCAAGTTGTCATTCCAAAGGTCTGGGACTTCCATCCAGCTGGTGCAGAGGTTTGTTACCATCGAATACCAGCATCTGTGGAAATACATGCATACCCTGTCCCGAGTGTCAAGGTCCTGTACCAGTACCTTCGGTTTAGGTAATTGGACATCACCAGAGGACTGTCATGGCAAAAAATTATTTAAGATGACAGGGTTTATTTAAATGAGTAGACTCTCAATTTTTCTCAGTCATCTTAATTCTTTTTTGGCACTGCTGTCTTTGCCTTGGCCGCTTTGGGTTTGGCTACCTTAGGCTTGGCTGCTTTGGGCTTCACAACTTTCACCTTAGCTGGGCTCTTCACTGCCTTTTTGGGGTGCCCTGCCTCTGTGGCTCTCTTGGGACTCTTGCCTGCTTTCTTGGCTGCTGTGGCTGCCGGCTTCTTCGCCTTGTTGGGGCTCTTCTTCACTGCCACTGCTTTCTTCGGCTTCTTGGCAGTGCTAGCAGGCTTCTTGGCCACCGGCTTCTTGGGCGTGGCAGCTGTCTTTTTCTTCGTTGCCCTTTCTTTTGTCTCACATGGCTTCTTGTTCAGCTTGAAAGATCCAGAGGTACCCATGCCCTTGGTCTGCACCAAGGCGCCATTGCTGACGAGGCTCTTGAGCCCCAGCTTGCTGTGGCTCTTCTTCTCCACACTGTAGCTGCCAGCAGCCAGCGTGGCGAGGGCGAGCCCCCTGCGCTGCTTGGAGGCGGACACGGCCTCGGTGACACTGGCCCCACGGGCCGCGGGCCTGGGAGCCGCTTGCCGCCTCCTTCAGCTCCTCGGTGGCGGCCCCGGCACGGGCAGCAGAGGCACAGGGTGCCGTGTCCAGCGCCGTGCTGCAGCCCAGGAGAACCACTCCGGCTGCCAGCCTGTGTTCCCACCGGGAACGGGCTCCCTGCAGCCAAACCCTCCTGCTCTTATGACACGTGCAGTCCAGCTGTGTGCTGTCATAGCCGGCCAAAAGGCCTCCCGGCCCTCCCTTCTGCCCGCAGTAAAACCCTGTCAGGAATTCCCTGGGAAGGCTGGTTTGGCCTTGGCCCTGCTGGGGCTGCTCTGTCCAAAGGACAGTGGGATGGGCACCTCCTTGGGAAAGGAGCAAGGCTTAATTCCATGTGCTGGAAGGGATGTGGTGTGACTGGGCAAATCAGCTAAACTCTACCTTTTTTCCCTCTCAAAAATGGGGAATGTGCCATGCCTTATCCAAGCTACATGAACACAAAAGCCTGCTCGGTTTTTTGTACACTTCTAATAAAAATAAATGCTACCTAAGCATCTACAGTATGAGTTTAGGGTATTTCCTCTTTGCTTTAGTTTTTTCTTATTTCTTTTTAGAAAGAACTCAAACTAATTTTGCTACACCCACCAACTCTTTTTTTTAACTCTTTTTTCTTCCCAGTAAAAGATTTTTCTTAAGGATTATAGACTAATTTTACTGTACACATATTGCACTGAAACAACCGGTAACTTTTTCTTGTGCCTACTCAGACAGCGGGCCCCTATAAATAGTATTTCACATGGCAGGCATATAATACCCATGTTCTGTGGTCTCTGCCAACAGTTTGAGGTATGGAAATGAGGTTAATATTAATCTAAAAAACATATTTTATTTGGAAACCCTTCTCTGCCTTTTCCCACATTGCTGTGGGAGAGGTGGGAAGCAGAGATGGACAGCAGCTTCATCCCTGGGAACAGATGGAAGGTGCAAAGCAGACATCTTCAAGAAGAGCTGACATTTTAAGCACTATCAAGTCTGCAGGGAGAGATAATATCGTTCCTGAGACATAATGATATACTTGGAAGAGCAGACAAGCTTTACAGCATGCAAGCTGAAAAAGCATTTTGAGCCTGAATGCTTATTTCTTTTTATCATTCTATCCCTATGTGCAATAAAGATGTTATCGCCTCCCTCAAATTTGTCTTGCTTGTATCCCAAGACCTTCATGTCCAAAATTATGTCAGATTTCACTTTCCAACTTGCTTTGCTATCCTTGTTATTGATGTCTGCATCTTCCCACCTTCAAGGCAATGGTGCATGTCCTGGCCATGTGACACAGGATAAAGAGAGTAAGGGTTTCTTTATTATTTGCTGTCCTCATTGCTTTCACTGATGAATGTTTATTTATCCATCAAGTCAGAATAAGCAGTCATTTGCTCTGGATCCTAATTTCAATTATGGATATCTTAAGTACTTGAGTAATAGTGCCATTGTTTGTTATTAGGTTTTAAGTAACAGACATGAGTAAATAATAAGACAATATAAACATAAATCTACTTAATTATCTGAGCCTTAAATTCCAGGCAATAATACCTAATCTAAAAAAAGAAAACCATGCGAATTACTAACATCAGAGAGACTTCAGAAATAATCTGTCTCTTATTAAATTTAAGTGGGTCAAATCCTGCAGCTCCTCGGCGCATGGGAGAGGTTTGTTCAAGGATTTCAATGGACTACACCATCATAAATGATGACAGAGGGGGTGATAAATGCAATGTGTTGTTCATTAGGACAGGCAAAGATGGGCTGGTAAATGATTGGTATAGATCTAATGATTCATTTGCAGAAGTACTGAGAAATATTCAAGCCCTAACTTAAGCTGTACATTGGGATGATACTGAGTTTGTGCAAAACTTGAGTCTTAGAGAGTTGAATCTTACATTATTTGCCTTCTACATAAGCAGAAGTAATAGTAATAAGGAATAAAAATGTATATCCTAATAGATTGATTGAAATTACAACCTCAGGGATTTTCTTCATCAAAAACTGGCAGGCAGGAAGACTTTAGTGCTGGCTGGGTGTTTTCCATTAACTTCTGAAGAGCTCGTCTTTGAGTGAAGCATTAATAGAGAGTAAAGTGGAAAACTGACAAAAGCCTTCAATGTTTCTTGGGTTTCAGCACTTTGAGTTGATCCTGTGGCACCTCTGGGCCCAGCCTGTTGTGCTGTGCAGATCAGATGAGCTTCCCTGGATCACCAGGACCCCAGGGCACCATCCTTCCTCCAGAGTTTTCTCCCTCCCTGTTTGAAATGGGAGGAATAACACTCCATTAAAACATTGCCTGTGCTTCTGCAGCAGCATAGGCAAAGAAGAGCTAACTTGGGAAGCAACCACATTTCCTGCTGTGTGTGAGCTCTTGGAGGGGTGATGGTGCAGCAGTGTGTTCTTGGTCCTTCCCAGGACAAAACTGGATTTAGTACTGGGAAGGAACAAAGGGCAGCCACAGCTGGGAGGGAGACAGGGCAGGATGAGAAGGAAGGAAGGAGCAGGGAAGGGACCAACGTCCCCAAGGAAAGGAGCCTTCAAGGCAAAGATGATAGTCAAGGTCAAGCTGTCAGAGACAACCACAACCTCTTATATAAAACTGATGGCAGCTGTTCCAGGGCTTGGAGCATGCCAGTGTTCCTCAATTTATTTTACATTCCCCTGGGGCAGTGATACGTGTGCTCTCTACCCCTCAGATGTGTGAAGGGAAATGAATTTCTGCTCCCTGCAGTGGGAATCTGGAGGGCTCTGACTGAGGCAGAGGAGGGGAATGGACCTCAGGAGACTTTTAGAGATAAGTTTGCTGTGAGGACAGGGGTGGGCTGAATGGGGGTCCCAGCACATATGGCTGAGAGGGAACTGGTTTGCAGTTGTCTCACTGCCGTGCTGAGATTCACATTTTTAGAGTCTTTCAGGAGAGGACTGCAAGCCTCAGAGCAGTGTTGGAGCTGCAGCTTTGCTGTTTCAATCTGCATGAGTTTCAGAAGCAGCCTTCTACCTAAGCAAGTATTTCAGTATTGAATTAATTAGCAGTTCTCTTACCACAGCACTTTCACAGGAACTCCATCCCACACCTGCACCTTCACCTTTTCTGGCTGCAGCCCCAGCCAGTTTCTCAGCCAGGCTCGGTGGTGCCAGCACTACTTGCCCTGAGCCCAAGTCCTTCCTGCTGTAATCCACTGCCTTTGCAGAGCTATCCCCACAATGACCTTGCTTAATGACCTCACTGCAGAGCCTGGTGCTCAGTCAGCCTCTGCAAAGCTGCTGGGGCTGCTCTGGCCCTGGGGACAGGCTGGGTCTGCAGTGGGCAGCTGGGGGTGCTCACAGGGTGCTCATGTGCTGTGCAGTGGGACAAGAAGGACAGTACAGCATGTCGTGAATAAAAAGTTATTTATTTTTTTTTAAGGTTGCAGAGTTAAAACAAGTTGGACCAGTTGCTGTTAAGGGTAGCTTCATTGTTAAGAGTTCTTCTTCAATTACCTGTTAATGGTTGGTGATTAGCCATTGTCCCCCTGATGCTTGCCAGAGAGTGACACCTGGACCCTGCAGTACCAGGAGAATGGGAGTGCCATCAGAACTAGTATGCAGATGAGAAATGCATTGCACCAAATTTTATAGTTTTCCAGCAAAACCCCTAAAAACAATGAGCCAACATAGAATTAGGGGACCTAGGTGATGCCTAAGGATCGGCACATAGTCCAGTGCCTGCGTGGATCCATTTTGCTTCTCACCCTAACCTAAGAGGATGTTGCCTAGAGAGAGGACCCGAGGTGTTGGACCGAAAAGGCGGAATCTCCTAATCTCTCATGAGGACAGAATCCCCAGCTCTGCCTGCAGACCAATGGACAAAGCTGCATCACCCTCCTCCTCCTCCGTGCCACTCCTGGGAGCAACGGCGGTGTGGGCACGACCCGTCGATTTCTCCCCACCTGAGCTGATTCTTTTTAATAGAGGCATTAAAAAGGAGAAAGATCTCCAGCCCACTTATTTCACAGCACCCATTTCCTCTGGCTCTGCAAATGTTTTCCAAGTTGAAATAGAGGAGAAGCTGATGACCACTGCCTCCAGTTATGAATTAATGTAACTGATGTAGCCTGGCTGCCAAAGAAGATGTGAGGACTCCTCAGGTGAGCAGCATGCTGAGCCTGTGCTGCTCTGTGAAACAGGATGCACAAGGGGGATCAAACACCTTCCCAACACACTGGGCAGTGCAGGTCACCAGTTTTCGCTAGAGTCACCAGGTTGAGCCCCTCTGCTCTGAACCCCAGCTGGGAGAGCTGGGAGTGCTCACCTGGAGAGGAGAAGGCTCCAGGGAGAGTTTGGAGCCCCTTTCAGGGCCTAAAGGGGCTCCAGGGGACTGGTGAGGGACAAGGGATGGAGGGGCAGGACAAGGTGGAATGGCCTCAACCTGAAGGAGAGTAGATTTAGATTAGATTTTAGGAAGAAATTTTTCCCTGTGGGAAGAGCTGCCCTGAGAGCAGGAGGCCCTGGCACAGGGTGCCCAGAGAAGCTGTGACTGCCCCTGAATCCTTGGAAGTATCCAAGGCCAGGTTGGACACTTGGAGCAGCCTGGGACAGTGGAAAGTGTCCCTGCCCATGGGGGTGGGACAGGATGGACTTTAAGTTCCTGCCAAGTAAACCATTCCAGGATTCTGTGATTTATTTAACTCTAGAGTTACTGGTAGCCTCTCATTTCCCTATGTTCCCTGCATTCCTACAGTTCTGCCCTCTGGCCTTTTATCCCTTCCCTGTGCAGGAGCAGGAGCAGGCAGGGAGCAAAGGGGCTGTGAGGCTCAGCCTGCAGCCAAGCCATCCTGCTCTTCTCAGATAACATTGTGCCAGGGGAAACAACATCTAAGAGTTACAGATAGGCCAGAATGACAACAGCATCGTTAAAGCCTTTGTCATTCATGATGAATCCTTGCAAGAATTGTTCCTCAGCTTCAGAGGATGAAGGTCTCTTTTTAAAGAGGAGCATCAGCTGATCGAAACCCAGATAAAATTCACAGCACTACGCTGCATTCATCAGCACAGAGTCACAAAGGTGCTGGGTACCACTGTCTCACACAGGGAAAA